CATCCATTTATGACCACAGTGTACCCATCTTCTGACCATGTCCATCCATTTATGACCACAGTGTACCCATCTTCTGATGACTACTTCCAGCAGGGTAACATGCCATGTCATAAAGCGTGAATCATCTCAGACTGGCTTCTTGAACATGACAATGAGTTCACTGTACTCAAATGGCCTCCACAGTCACCAGATCTCAATCCAATAGAGCATCTTTGGGATGTGGTGGAACAGGAGATTCGCATCATGGATGTGCAGCCGACAAATCAGCTGTCATATGCTCTGATTCAAGCTCATCTTTAATAAGTATACAAAGAAATCACCCAGAAAGTCGTCCAGATATTTTAATAGACATACAGCAAATATTATATCGGATACAGATGATGGGGTTAATTCTTGTGTTTTTATGGGTACCTGCACATATAGGGGTGAAAGGAAAGGAAATGAAATGGCAGACAAGAAGGCCAAAGAATCTGCAAGGAAGAAAGAAGTTAATATAAGAGTTTCATTTAGTAAGTCAGAGACCAAAAGCATTATTAAAAGAAAAATGGCAGAAGAAATGGGAAGAGGATGTAAAAAGGAAGATGGCTCTATAGAATTCAAAGAATGGTTGGAGAAAGTAGAAGAGGTGTTGGAAGAAAGGTGGTGAARATTTTCATGTTTTATAGCCTACATCCCAATCTAACCCAGTGCAAGTTTCATATAACTATTCCAGTTATCAGCTTTGTTCTAGTGAGAGAAGGAGAAATATTTATGGAGATCAGAAACTGAAAGCCCAATCTGTAACCTAGGAGCAATAAGATTCTCAACAAYTTAAAACTTTTTAAATAACAAAGACTTCAATATGGACATTTGATTAGAACAACTACAGTATTATTTGACAAATTAGCTTGCCCTACTTCTGATGATGAGGGGAACATTTTTTTCTGCACACTTGAGCAACAACAGATAACTCATCCTTCCTATACTGACAGTTTCTTTTGTTTCTTAACACCAGAATGTTAAAATTTAAAAAAAGATTGTTTGCTAGGTGAGTTAACTCCGCCTCTGTTATTGTATCTGCGGTGAGAAAGACCGATCATGTTTTTTCTCTCCTAAAAGAAAAAAAAATTTTATGCTAAATGTGGTGCTGATGAGACAGCATTTGAATGTGGAAATACTGCTGATTATTTTTAGTGTTTCTCATGCAGCGGTGCTTTATTCTGAAGGATGTGCTTCATGCAGGTGTTCTCTAGGTGGCAACATAGACCACTTCCCAGGTGGGTCTTCTGCCTACGTGTGAGTGTTTAGTCCAAATGCAGCCGAAACATTGCATCCACGTAAACAGGATGCACAACATTAAAGTGTGCGGTCGAGAAGTTCTCACCAAGATAACTTTGCTTCAAATTCTGCTGTCATAAAAATAAAAAATGAACAGTTTGAGAAAAGAAGGCTTCACGACAAAAGAGTTTATTTGAAGCCTTTTTAGCTCTTATTTTATAACATTTAACAAGTACAAGAAATGTGAAGCCATATATGATTTGGCCTACATTTAAATTATTCAAATTCTTCTGCTGATGCAGACATCCATAATGTGATTTAAGAGTTTTGAGTTAGATTTTCCTTTAATAATCAAAAGTAAACCTCCAGATTATTTTTCTTTTTTAAGTGGACATCATTTTTATTTTCCCAAAGTGCTGGTTCGTTTCACTAAGCTCCGAGAGCTAAATGGGAACTCTATAGATCTGTTGTTAACAGTGTGTGATGTGTATTGACAGGAGCAGTTGGAGAATGTATGTGACCTACTGTACAACAGAGTTCACAGCTGAATGAGGGCAAACATCTGCTGCACAATGTGTCACCATTCTTTTACTGTCAGGCAGGTCAGTGCAGTGTGCCTTTTCAATAAAATGTAGAGAGCGTGAACCAATATTCAGAGCCTCTGGTGCCTGAGCTGAAACAAATCATGAAAAAATGTCCTGGATTATATTCTGCTGTCTGAGGTCAGAAGGTCAGATTTGTCTCTCGGTCCATTGTCTCTGTCAGCTGTGTGGTTTGAAGCTGAATATTGTTGACTTGATGTTAAAGGGATCCATGATTAGCTGTAACATTAGACTTTATTTGATAAACACATTTTAACTGTAAAATAAAGATTAAAAATACTGTTGGCTGTTTAGTTTTGTAAAATTTTAAAAAATATATTTTAACACGGACGGGGCCATTTTATTTACACGCAAAGCATTCTGGGTAAATGATGACGTATAGGTCATCAGTTCGAAGCTGCTAGCGAGCTATATCCACCCTGAAGGTTAATCTTGGACAATATCTGATG